GTGGTAATGATTGTGTGAGCGAGCCAAGCAATTGCAATTAGGGGGGTGGCGCCGCTACGATCGGTCCCCTACTTTTTTACTAATGACTTTATTGTTCCCCTTAGCAAGATTTTACTTCTTTTTTTCTGGTCGTTTGGTAGGTTTTCCGTGTTCTTCTTTTTTGGAAAGGTAAAATGGGTGGGTTTGTCGAGCACCAGCGGCGGAGCACGGTTGTAATTGTTGATGTTCCCTTTATTCGTTTGTTTTTCGCAAGAACAATTCCGTGGGAATTCCTCTGTATTTAAATACCGGACCGGCGGGAAAAAATTTCTAGCCGGCAGTGGAAAATTTGTTTCCCGCTTTTTATTCCAGCCCAAACGGGGACACGGTCTCTTGACGACTTAATTAGATTTTTGTTGTCCGACAGAAGCAAAAAGACAGGTGCAACCCCTTCTTGTTCTTCCTATCCTCCGCTCTCTCCCTTAATTATTTTTCGAATTAATCAACTCCCAAAAACCGAAAAACGGAAATAGGAAAACGTTCGCTGATGTAAATATAGCATCTACTGGATTAATGCTATCGACCAGCGGTTACGAAGGTATTCTTTTTGGCAAAAAATTATATCCAATTTTTTAAGGGACGTTATTATTCATATTTGGACCATTGATCTCAAATCAAAAATGAAATTACCCGATGATATTATGTAAATAAAATAGAAAAAATTATCCTACTAATTATGATTTTTTAAACATCAGACGTGATAACTAGAAGCGTGAGAAAGTCGTATATATTCGTCGGTCAGATCAATGGATCGACAGGAGGGTCGAGTTATCACGGAAGGAAGAATGGTTACATACACCCATAAACAAACGGAATCGCGTCAAACCGTGCAACCGCAATAACAAGCCGCTACAGTCATCGTCGCGTGTGCACTTGTGCAATTATTACCGCACCAGGGGTTCCCCTGACGATTGTGCTATCAGAACAAGTTCTCCTATGCACATACAGTCGTCAAACAACAAATACTTTCCAACTAATCCTCTAGTAAATATTTTGCTACAGCTATGGGCATAGACCATCAATTTTGGGAAATTCAAGGGTGTTAGGAGTAAGTGACTAGGATAACAGGTATCTAGCTGTTTCTGATGAACAGGAACATCGTATAATTGATACCTACACACGACCAATTGCATACCAACGAACTTGTGCGATTACCTGGTTTGCATCAGAAAAGCCACGTTACTCGCAGGTGTTACTGCCATGAAAATCTGCTATACGAACATGGACGAATGATAAGAGGAATTATAATAAGAGCAGAGAAATAATAAATCGCGATCAATGAAAGGTAAATCTGCAAATAATATAAAAATGAAGTTCGCCTGTCGATTTAAAAAAGCAGGTTATGTTCAGGAGATTAACTCGTCCGTTTGTTCCTAACCTAGAAATCCTCGTGTACAACAGAAGAGAAAATGAATAGAACGTAACAATTCTGAACAAAAGGGTTAAACAGGGCACTTGTAAATCTCTGTGCAGCGCTATCGGTGGGGAAAAAAAGAAACGTAAACGAAGCTAGCACGCCACCTGAGCCCCCGAACGGAAGAGCGACGCTCTTGAAAAATCGTGTTTTCCTAGCATGGCAACTCGAGAGGGTCGAAAATTGATTAAAATCGAGGCAGAAATCGAGCAGTGAGCGATTTTTCAACGTGGACGCGGAACAATGTGTCGCTATTTTGCCTGAAAACCGACCGAAGAATCGACGCGATAAATCTCGGCTGTCGGGGTCCGTGTAAGAGCAAAGGACACGCGCATGCGCAAAGACACGATTCTACGTTTCCACGCAAGAACGTCCCATTAGTGGCAAGCATTATTTCGCCGCACGATCGGCAATCCGCGCGACTCTCGCGATTTTCTGGTCGAGAGTGCATCAATGGATATCGATTTTTTTCCGTTATTTTTGCATTTCTATTCGAGCTCGTCCAAAATTTATCTCTTCCTCTTTCGTATGTCCACCAAGGAAAATTTGTAGATCGCAGCAATAGTATGACGAGTACGCGTTTTTCTTTTTTTGTTAATTTTTGGTTATTAGCGTCGCGCTACGAATTAAACTTTCATGCGAGGGCAGACATCTGCGATACTCGGGGCAAATATTTGTCTACGAATATTACGAAGACTTGGAAGGGACGAATGCGGAGAAAATTATCAACGTGCGCGAATTATGAAAGATGGTAGACGAGATATGGCAGGACCTCTCCTACGCTATACACACGAAAACATAGCAAACGCAGTCTGATCAACGAATGACCACTCGACTCAATGTTGAAGTAAAAAATAAATAAAAACAAAAATTACTTGTATTAATCGTTAAGATGTGGAATTTTTTTCTTTCCTTTTCTCTTGACCCAATGTACTGGAAATGTTAGTATTCGCTTTGGCGAACGTGGTTTCTGGGGAAAATGTTATTGCGTCGCGAATTAAGGACACTTAATAATGCCCATCGACGAGCTGACTTTATCGTGATGTGGCCGTAATGGAGCCGCGACTATAATCGCGATTTTATCTCTAAGGACTTTAAAACGATCGCATCTCGACCTTACCGCGACCCCTTTTTGATCGATGGGAACGTGCCTTAATCCTCCATAAATCATGACACCTTTGTTACCCAAAACGCCTGCACACAGCGATCCTCCGATAAGATTTAACAGGATCGATGAAAAAGGCGACCTAACCCTGCCGAGTTCCGCCAATTTTTCAATCTCGCGAGATCTTCGGCGACAAACCACACATCTTAATAGCCATCCCTTATTAAGTTAAGCTTCGTGACTAGCGACGGGCTCAAGTACGTCGCGAGTAGATAAAAAATACCCCGACAGATTCAGAAAAATATAGGATTCTTCGTTTCCTCGCTCCTAACATTGTTCAACGATAATGGAAAATTTTTTCAAAACTCTTCCGAATAGCGTTCGAACTACCAGACGATCGTTGGATATTGGATTTTACCCCGTTGTCCTCATCGCTTTGTATCTCGTCGGATATCCTCTCTTCTTCAATTATTTCTTCATACGAATGATGCAGTGCGCGAAAAGTACGGAAACTACGTTGAATAATAAAATTAAATACTTCGTGACTATTAGGTTGGCCCTATATATATATCTTAATAGACGATCCTTCGCAGGTAGTCAAATAAGCGTCACCCGAATATGGGTGACGCGGTCAGACCGGAAACTTTGTCATCGCCCGAATATGGCTGATGCTGTCGGATCAGAAACTTTGCTGTCACCCGAATATGGGTGACGCGGTCAGACCGGAAACTTTGTCATCGCCCGAATATGGCTGATGCTGTCGGATCAGAAACTTTGCTGTCACCCGAATATGGGTGACGCGGTCAGACCGGAAACTTTGTCATCGCCCGAATATGGCTGATGCTGTCGGATCAGAAACTTTGCTGTCACCCGAATATGGGTGACGCGGTCAGACCGGAAACTTTGTCATCGCCCGAATATGGCTGATGCTGTCGGATCAGAAACTTTGCTGTCACCCGAATATGGGTGACGCGGTCAGACCGGAAACTTTGTCATCGCCCGAATATGGCTGATGCTGTCGGATCAGAAACTTTGCTGTCACCCGAATATGGGTGACGCGGTCAGACCGGAAACTTTGTCATCGCCCGAATATGGCTGATGCTGTCGGATCAGAAACTTTGCTGTCACCCGAATATGGGTGACGCGGTCAGACCGGAAACTTTGTCATCGCCCGAATATGGCTGATGCTGTCGGATCAGAAACTTTGCTGTCACCCGAATATGGGTGACGCGGTCAGACCGGAAACTTTGTCATCGCCCGAATATGGCTGATGCTGTCGGATCAGAAACTTTGCTGTCACCCGAATATGGGTGACGCGGTCAGACCGGAAACTTTGTCATCGCCCGAATATGGCTGATGCTGTCGGATCAGAAACTTTGCTGTCACCCGAATATGGGTGACGCGGTCAGACCGGAAACTTTGTCATCGCCCGAATATGGCTGATGCTGTCGGATCAGAAACTTTGCTGTCACCCGAATATGGGTGACGCGGTCAGACCGGAAACTTTGTCATCGCCCGAATATGGCTGATGCTGTCGGATCAGAAACTTTGCCCCGAATATGGCTGATGCTGTCGGATCAGACCGAATATGGCTGATGCTGTCGGATCAGAAACTTTGCTGTCACCCGAATATGGGTGACGCGGTCAGACCGGAAACTTTGTCATCGCCCGAATATGGCTGATGCTGTCGGATCAGAAACTTTGCTGTCACCCGAATATGGGTGACGCGGTCAGACCGGAAACTTTGTCATCGCCCGAATATGGCTGATGCTGTCGGATCAGAAACTTTGCTGTCACCCGAATATGGGTGACGCGGTCAGACCGGAAACTTTGTCATCGCCCGAATATGGCTGATGCTGTCGGATCAGAAACTTTGCTGTCACCCGAATATGGGTGACGCGGTCAGACCGGAAACTTTGTCATCGCCCGAATATGGCTGATGCTGTCGGATCAGAAACTTTGCTGTCACCCGAATATGGGTGACGCGGTCAGACCGGAAACTTTGCTATCGTCCGAATGTG